CCTGGACATGCTGACCATCCTAGTTTGTCCTGTGCATCACATACATGTGTGGAGTAAGTGCACAGGGCCACGTCGGTAGGAAGAGTGAAACACAGGAATGCAATAATGAGGCTCTGCTCATTTAATTCCACTTTTTCATGTGGGTTACTTCATTTGAAGTGTGAAGAACGATCACAGAGCCCCTCTCGTCCTGGGGAAATGCTGTACTACTCAACCGCAGCCTCAGCCCTACCTACATATTTAAATACTTCAACATTTGTCAACTCAAGTGCCCTCACAGGAAGAAGGTGAGGCCAGGGAGGGATGAGAGCGGGATCAGAATTCACTGCAACACTCAGAGAGACAGGGCGGGAAGGCCGTGACCCTGCAGAGGACAGATGTGCTGAGGCTGCAGCGGGAACAGGGGACCCTCAGAGCTCAGTGCTGGAGGCAGAGGGGAGCCAGCTCCCAGGGCCAGGCTGAAGGGAGTGCTCTCCACAGGGGGTAGGAGGGCAGTAGCCAGGAGGGGACAGGAAGCTCAGACAGGACAGGACGTTCACATCAGCGGAGTCCAGCTATGAAATACGGTTCTGCAGGGCACCTCCTGCCTGAGATGAGGACCACAGTTTCTCAGGATCTCTCTGCAGATTTGAGGGAGGAGTGGGATGGGTTAGGCCACCTCAGGAAGTGGGGTCACCCAGTGTCAAACCGGACATTGGGCAAGGAGGGGATCCAGTCAAATTTCCCACCCTGAATTTCATAAAGGGTAGTTTTTGTTTCTTTGTATGTTTGTTTGGGTGCCAGGAATCAAACTCGGGCCTTTGCACTTCAAGGCAGGTGGCCAAACGCTTGAGCCAAATCCCTGGCCCGGTAAAGAGTAGTTTTGTACTATTCCCAAACATGTGTGACTCAAGCAACCCAAATTTGTACAGGTGTGTCTTTGCACAGAGAACCTTCTGTTCAAAAACATTTGTCTTTCGGTGCTGCTTTTTCACCTGAACATAGTGACTCTCAGTTCATCCTCTGACATGACTGACAGAGTTTCCTCTTCACACCTGCGTGCTCTCATGCCTGAACCGACCACAGTGTCTTCATCCATTCTACTGACACACACTCGGGTCAGTTCTCCACCTGACTCTCTTAGTCAAGCTGCAAAGGACCGCAGGTAATTCTTCAGCGCACTGCCCTCGTGTCCGTGGTCCTGTTCTCCAGTGTGGGAGTGACTGAGCCCACGTAGGTCGTTGCAGTTTAATTCATGTTGTTTTCCGCAGGGGCTGCACTGATGTGCACCCCGCCAACGTGTGCCTGGGCTCCCCCACCACCCTGCCCACGTTTGTTCTTTGTCTTTTCTCCGTCGGAGATTCTGCCAATGCGGAGGGAGCGACAACCACTCATGGTCTTACAAACGGCGTTACTGAAAACACCCGCTGTGGGTCTCGGGCTCCTACGAGAAAGAAGAACATTCGTGAGATAGGAGAGGGGGAGGAAAGGACACAGGGACAGAGACCTGAGGGAAGTGGGGTCTCGGGCTGAGCTAAGCTGCTCTGGGCAGCACGGACAGAGGGCACCGAGGACGTGCAGTGTGTGTTCATACAGGAGTGGGAAGGAGGGGTGGGCAGGCCTGGGACACTCACTGCCACTGGGTGTTGCAGGTAGGGCACCAGCATATCTCTACTGAAGAGAACAAACGGTCCGTTCGTAGGGGAAGTATTAGTTGGGCTCGAGTTAGCCTTGGCTGGAACTGAGCTCAGCAAGGCCCTGCTACTTGTAATGTAGTACAGCTGAACCGTGGAGGGGAAATAGCCTGTGTCACTCACAGCCGGCTTCTACGGGGCAGAGATGTCTGCTGGAGGATCTCACTTGAATCTGGAGTCTAGACAGGTGGGTGTTTTTGAAGTATAGACGAGAATGGTGGTGACCAGAGTGGGCTGCTGTGGAGGACGGGGTGAGAGACGGAGAACAAAGGCCCCTAATGGAGAGAGAGCTCAGAAGCTCATGAGTTCTGTTTGGATTCATGTTAAATGCTACGACCAATACAGACTACGTTGTGAGTAGGGCATATTGAATTTACCTCAATTCTGCCACTCCACCATGCACATATTACAGTTCACAACATCATATATCCCATAATATACGTGTGAGCACAAGTGCATGTGTATAAGAAAATACATAGGAAAGTGTGTAACGTGGACCTTGCTTAGGATTCAATGCACTTTCATACTGAAAATGCCTTGCAGTGCGTTTCACTCTCCTCCCAAAGCGCTCATGCAGCAGCGCGAAGTCCACCTCCCTCTGGGCTCACAGCTCCTGACCCCATGGAGCTGCCGAGTAGCAACCCCCAGGCTCCCCCTCAGCTCCCTGTGTGCACCGCCCTGAAAAGACAGCCTGGTGCTATTGGTGCTCTCTCTTAATTTGCTAGGAATGTTTGGTTTTTCTTTGTAAATTTTTTAAAAAATTTATAAAAATAAAAGAAAAATCTCAAGGTTAAATGTTGTCTAAACAGAAACATGCAGAAGCCAAAAAATAAGGGCACGATCTCATTAGAATTTTCAAAATCTGCAATGTATTTCTCCAAAACATAGCTCATGCACAGATTTCTTCATAATTTCTCTTAATTCTATTTGTTTGAAGTGTGAGATCAAAGAAAGCTTTTAGAAATTTTCACAGATTGCATTCCAGCACCCAGTGTACCTGTTAGGTTAGAGGCCATTACATGTAAAGCAGAATCCTAGTGCAGACTCTACTCTCTCCCTGCACAGCCTGGAGGTGCTGTCCCTGTGGCTCTGCCTCCTGCAGATTGGTGCAGCCTTAGGAGGCAATGGGAAGGGCTAGGTCTTGGCCTGTGGTGATTACCTGGGTCTGGTCCTGCTCTGCTGTCTCTTGTGCACTGTCCAGTATCTTTGCTTGTATGTATCACAAATGCACACTAACAAAGAAAGAGGGAAAAAGAAAGGGAAAAGTTATATTTATCCTCAAATCTATCCCTTTCTTTGCAGCCTCAGATGAGTTGCCATGGAAAGGGGAAATGTGAGCTTTCCCAACACTTTTGTCCTGCTGGGCTTCTCAGAGTTTCCCTGGCTGGAGAGGCCCCTCTTTGCAGTGGTCCTGATCTCCTACCTCCTCACCCTGATGGGGAACAGCTCCATCATCCTCCTCTCCCTGGTGGACCCCAGACTCCAGACACCCATGTACTTCTTCCTGGACAACCTCTCTCTGCTGGACCTCAGTGTGACCTGTGCCATTGTGCCCCAGCTGCTGTCCAACCTCTGGGGACCAGACAAGACCATTACTGCCTGGGGCTGCATCACCCAGGTCAGTATTTTCAGCTGCACTATCTGCACTGAATGCGTCCTGCTGGGCATGATGGCCATTGATCGCTATGTGGCCATCTGTCTTCCCCTCCGCTACACTGTCATCATGCGTCCCTGGGTCTGTGTGCAGATGGCAGCTGTATGCTGGTCCAGTGGCCTGGCCAATGCTCTGCTCCAGGCCACACTCACCCTCCAGGTTTCGCTCTGTGGTCACCACATCCTGAACCACTTCTTCTGTGAGATACCTGTGCTCATCAAGCTGGCCTGCGGGGACACCTCTGCTAATGAGCTGGCCCTCACATTGTTGTTAATCCCATTTGGCATGGTGCCTGTTCTCCTGGTGATCATCTCCTACACCTTCATCTCCAGGGCTGTACTGAAGCTGCCTTCTGCTGAAGGAAGGCGCAAGGCCTTCAGCACCTGCAGTTCCCACTTGCTCGTGGTCACCATGTACTTTGGACCAGGCACATACTTGTACCTTCAGCCTTCATCCAACAGTTCTCAGGCCAAGTCCATGTCCTTTTTCTATTGTGTTATCACCCCACTGCTCAACCCACTCATCTACACCCTGAGAAACAAGGATGTGCAGAAAGCATGGAAGAGGATCCTGCAATCCCAGGGCAGGGTGAATATTTTAAAAGCCGGAAGATCTCTGCCCGTCTCTTGATCAATCACATGCATACACTAAAGAATACTGGCACATTGTTTCTGCTTTTCCAAATTATTATCTGTGAGTTCTGATGAAGAGTTCTCACTTCTCAAGGCCAACACTTAAGTGACTGTGAAGACTCTTTGACCTCCACGGTTCTCCCATCTCTTCTTACAGACACAGATATTATTTCCTAAGGTATTTTTTCCTGTTCATCAAATCAATGTCTGTACAGATGTCATGAAATGCTTGCTATATTACTCTCAGATTTTCAAGTCTTCCATGAAGGTCTTTGTCCATTTTTAGTTGAGTTTTTAACAGTGTGACATGGAGACCTCATTTGAATGTTTTATAGGTTGTGCTGAAATTCTCAGTATCATTTTTTAACAGAAGCTCTTTTGTACAATGCATTTTATCTACCATTTTGAGGATCAGATGGCTGTAGATGCATGGGCTCATTCTGAGTCTGTCCATTTTATCTATTAAACAGTACTATCCTGTTTTGTGAAGAGAAAGGTAAAGTGATTAAAAACTTAATTCTGATATGCTATGTTCAGTTTCCAAATCTCCACATGGAATTGAGACATTATGTAAACATATACTAATGAGAAATAGAAATTGAAAAATAAGCAAAGTTACTGTAGGATACATTGATATAAGATGTTGTGGTGCCTCAAGCATTGCTCCTCTTTCTCAAGATGGCTTTCTCTTCTCAGGGTCTTCTCATACTTGAGGATTTGTGTTCAAAAGTTTGCTGGGATTCTGATGGGCTTTCCTGCGCATGTCATATTTTTTTCTCTGATTGTAGTATTGGTTCTTTTGTTCTATTGTTGGGTTTCTAGGATATTGACTATTGTTTGTCTGGGTATAGAATTTTTTGTTTTGTTTTAGATCTTGACTATTAGGAGTTGAATATGCCTCCCTTATCTGTATGTCTGCTTCTTTTGCTCTGTTTGGGAAATTTTCTATTGTAATTGCTGTTAACATTTTTTAATGTCATTTGTATTTTCTCCTTCTTTTTCATGGACTCCTCTCAATCTCGTATTTTTCTTCTTTGCATCATATAGGGGCTGTTGGATTCATTTTTCATGGTCCCTTACTAGAAGTGTACAAGAAGGCTATTGATTTTTGAGTGTTGACTTTGTATACAGCTACTCTTCTAAAAGTGTCAATTAAGTCTAGAAGTATTTTGGTGGAATATTTTGGGTCTTCAATGTAGAATATCATATTTTCAGGAAACAATGACAGTTTGTAACAGGTAAAACTTGGAAACAGCACATTTGTCCATCAGTTGGAGACTGCATAAAGATGTGGTTATTCTATAAAATGAAATACTACTCAGCCATAAAGGAGAAATTAGTGTTATTCATAGGAAAATGGATGCAAATAAATAAATGGAATAAATAAATCACACATGTGTAAATACTGAAGTTTCTCTGCTGTGAACAAACTATTATAGCACATAAGATCCTAATAAGATAATGGACAATGTGAAATAGGAAGAAAAAGGCTAAAGGTGTAGGGGAAGTGGGAATGGTAGGTGAAAGGTAATAAGGGAAAAGAAAAAAAATATGAGAAAATGAAAATATGGAAATAAAGTATTTGTAAATAGGGAAGGGAGTAGGGGGTGAAAGGAGGGCAGGGATAAGGGGAAAAATGAGAACCAAGACCTGTCATGTAAAAGTACAAGATCCCAATGATGAATGTAACTGTACTGAATACCTAAAATGTGCCAATAAACTCAATGAGGAAAAAACTTTAAAAATAGAGAACTACAGGCCCATCTCCTTAATGAATATAGATGCAAAAATCCTCAATAAGATATTAGCAAACAGAAAACAGAGGGTCATCAAGATCATACACCCTGACTAAATTGGTTTATTCCAGGGATGTGAGAATGGTTCAACATATGTAAATCAATAAATGTAATACACTATATTAACAGATTCAAGGACAAAAACCATACAGTCACCTAAATAGAGGCAGAAAAAGCATTTGACACAATTCAACTCCCATTCATGATAGAAAACCCTGTAGAAAATTGGAATAGATGGGCTTTATCTCAGCTTGATAAAGACTATCTATGAAAACCCAACAGGCAATATCATATTAAATGACCACAAAATGAAAATCTTCACGTTAAAATCAGGAACAAGACAATGATGTCCACTATCACCATTCCTGTTCAGTATAGTTCTGGAAACATTATCCATAGCAATTAGAAAAGAGAAAGAAATTAAAGCAATAAATATGGGAAAGGAAGAAGTTAAACTGTCATTTTTTGATGACAATATGAAACTCTACACAGAAGACCCAAAAAATTCCCCCAAAATATTTCTAGATTTAATTGACACTTTCAGCAGAGTAGCTGGATACAAGAACAACACTGAAAAATCAATAGTCTTCTTGAACACAGACAGCAGACTCACTGACAGCTAAATAAGGGAAACAATTCCTTTCAGAATTGCTTCCATAAATGAAGTATCTAGGAATAAATCTAATGAAAGAAGCAAAAGACCTCTACACTGAAAACTACAGCACTCTGAAAAAAGAGATGCACTAGGATTCCATCTCACCCCAGCAAGAAAGGCTGCTTTCAAGAAATCAACCAATAACAAGTGCTGGTGGGGTTGTGGGAGACTGGAATCTTTCTTCATTGTTGGCGGGAATTCAGACTGGTGCAACTACTGTGGAAATCAATATGGAAATACTTCAAATAGTTAGGATTAGAATTCCCATTTGACCCACCTATTGCCCTGCTGGGTATCTCCCCAAAGCAATTAAAAGAATAATACCACAGTGATATATGCTTGCCCTCTTTTTTAGTGGCAAGGTTTGTAACTGCTAAAACTTGGAAACAGCCCAATTGACTATCAACTGGAGACTGGATAAAGAAGATTTTTTTTAAATGGAGTACTACTCAGCCTTAAAGAATGAGAAATTAGAGTCATTCATAGGAAAATTTATGCAAATTGAGGTTATGCTCTTAAGTGAAATAAATGTCACACATGTGCAAATACCAAATAGTTTTCTCAGGTGTGAAAAATTAAAAGTGTAAGTAAGATTCAAAATGTATAATCAGTGTTGTGTAATAGGAAGAAAAGGTCTAAAAGATCAGAGGAAGTAGGAGGGGAAGGGAAAAGTTTGAAAGGGAAAAGAAAAATATGTGAAAAGGAAAAACACCGAATCAATATCTTTCTAAATATGGAAGGGTGGAAGGAGCTGAAAGCAGGGCTGGGGAATGACAGAAATAAGAACCAAAATAAGTCATGTAAAGGTACAAGATCCCCATGATGAATGTAACTGTACTGTATACCTAAATGTACCAATAAACTGAATAAATATAAAAAACAAAAGAATCAGCAAACTTGATGATAGCACAGTGTACCGTGTTATGTCTGCAGTTCACAGAGAAAAAAGAATGAAGGAAGAGCAGAAAGATTCTTGGACATGTGAAACACAATGAACCAGAAAAACATGGCATTAAGGGGAAACTGAAAAAGAATGAAAAGGGACAGAGAAATTTGATAAAATAATGGCATACAACTTTCTAGATGATGAAGCATGAGAATACACAGAGAGTCAACAACAAGATTCACTCAGAGAGATCCTCACCAGATATAATTGCTCTAAAGACCAAACACAGAGAGTTAAATTTGCAAGCACCGAGAGTGAGGTTACTTTTGTCTTACAAGCAATCTTCAGGGAGAGGGGCTGGGAGGTTTCATACCATAAATTTTGTTGTTACCAACTAACAAGCATAGGTGAGAATATTGAAAATCAGGTTCAAATGGTATAATTGAGAGTGTGAAATAGGAAGAAATGGCTAAATAGGAAGTGGGAAGTGGAGGGGAAATGAAATATGAGAAAAGAAAAAAAAAATGTAAAAAAAATAGAAACAAAGTCTTTGTAAATAGGGAAGGGTGAAGCGGGTGAAGGGAGGGCAGGGGCATGTGGCAAAAGCAATAACCAAGCTATTTCATGTAAAGGTACAAGACAGCTATAAAGGTACAAGATAAATGTAACCATATTGGTTTTTTTTAATGTAACAGTAAACTTAATGGAAAAAATCAGAGCACTGGGGCACTAGTTGGATATGTAGAATGCTTCAGCTGCTATAGAACACAGCATAAAGAGATGCAGGTAGGAAGCACATGATGAAGCAATTGTATTCCAGGTAGGTACTCAAAGATTTGGGAGCAGGGTCCTGCAGAGGTATTTGTGCACCAAAGTCCAAACAAGCACTATTCATACTACCCAAAATATAGATGCATCCAAGGGTGCATTGGCAGGTGAATGTATAAGCAAAATGTAGAAATCACATACAATGCAATCATAGTCTACCTTCAAAAACATGAGATGCTCGCTACAGCATTGTTTTATCTCAACAACATTGTATAAGTCAGGTGCCCCTAAGCCACTGGAACCCAGCCTCACAAAAGGAGGTGAGCAGTGGCTACCCAAGCAAAGCTCCATCTGTATTTACAATCACTCTCTTTTCCTCCTTTCACTACCTGAGCTCTGTATTCTGTAAGATCAGGCAGAACATTAGATTCTCATAGAATAATGAAACTTACTGCACATTTTAGGAATTTAAGTGTCATTATCTTTATAAGATCTAAATCCTGATGAGCAGAGGTGGAGCTGAGGCCAAGATGCTATCACTGGGGAGCAGCTGCAAACACAGATGAACATCAGCAGAGAGGTCTGACTGCAGAGACCATGATAAACTGACTGCTTGAAGCTTCAGATCAAAATTCTACCCATTGCAACTGCTGGGAGGCTCTATAGGGGAGAGTTAGTTGATGTCCTTCAGTTGTGAATCTGCCTCTGTTTGCAGGCCTTGAGTGAGTATCCAGCATTAGTTCAGCCTGTGGATGACTCACCCATTTTTATTTAATATGTTCATAGTGACTCCATAGATAAACCCACAAGCTAACCCTAGCTAAAATATTATTTTTATTTTTTAAATTAATTTTATTTGTACATTTAAGGTATACAATATAATGACATCCATCATTGGGAATGTATAACTTTACATAATCCATCTTGGTTCTTATTTTTTTCCCATACCCCTGCCGTCCCTTCAACTCCCCCCATCTACAAAAACTTTATTTCCATTTTTTTCTTTTTCTCATATTAATTCCTTTCCCTTCTTTCTTTTACCTACTCCTCATACTTGCCCTTCCCCTTCGCACCTTTTCTTCCTATTTCACATTATCTATTATACTTTTGTCCTTATTTACACTTTCGGTTTCTCACACTAAAGAAATTACTCAGTATTTACATGTGTGTCCTATTTATTTCATTTAAGTGTATCACCTCAATGTGAAACCTCAGCTAAAATGTCTATAGTTTCTCATTTTTTATGGCTGAGTACTTCTCCATTTTATAAAAGAACAACAACACATTTTCTTTATCCAGTCTCCCATTGATGGGCACTGGGTTTGCTTCCAAGTTTTAGCTATCGAGAATTGTGCTATGAATATGAGTGCATGTATATCACATATATGGTGCATATATGTCAGTGATTGTCATCTCTTCTTCTTGGATGTGTCCCTTTACAAGGATGCAGTGTCCTTCTTTGTCTCTCTTAATTAGTTTTAATTTGAAATCCACTTGATCTGCAAAGTGGATAGCTACTCCTGCTTTTTGTGGGGGAATCTGTTACATGGAGTATTGTTTTCTATCTATCCTTTCACTTTCAGTCTTTGAGTTTTTTTTTTTGCTTATATATATTTCTTGTATCTAGAATATTTTTAGATCCTGCTTTGGATCTTGACCCATTCTGACAGTCTATTTGTTTTGATTGGTGAATTGAGACCATAAAAATTGATGGTTTTACCCGATATGTATTGACTTTCTTGTCATGACTTTATCTTTTTGTTGGATTTTCTGTGTTGCATTTAATTTCTTGTACCTGATGGATTCATTCCTCCTGGCTTCCTGGGGTTATGATCCTAATTGTCTTCTCCCAGGATATTGGTTAAATTTTTTTGGGGAATGCTCATTTGTTATTCATCAAGATCCTAAGGTGCCCTCTGTCATGAAATCATTTTATTTATCCATTAGTTTTGAAATATAGTTTTGAAAGGTACACAGCCTGGATTGGAGACTGTTTTCCTTTAGTGCTTGACATATTTCACTCCATGCTCTTCTTGCCCTGTGGGTTTGTGTTGAGCAAGTAGTCTGCTATAATTCTGATGGTATTTCTTTGTATGTGACTTGTTTTCTTTCTTTAACTGCTTGTATAATTTTGTGTAGCTGGAATCTTAAATAATACATGCCTATGTGTAGAGTTTTTTTTTTTTAAACATGGCTAGTTGGAGTTCTATATTCTTCACTTATCTGTATGTTAACTTCTTTTCTCTTGCTTGGGTAGTTTTCTGCCATTACTTCTGTGGAAAGGTGAGTTTTTTTATGCCATATGTTTCTTCATTAACTCCAATCACACTTATGTTATTCTTTGAATTGCCTGGCAGCTGCTGGATTGATTTCTTGTGGTCTCTTACAATTTTTTAAGAAATTTTTCTGGGCCGGGGATTTAGCTCAGTGCTTCTGCTTCCTGCCTCACAAGTTTGATCCCCAGTACAAAAAAAACCAACCAAACAAACAAACAAAAAACCCCTTCTTTTCCTGGTAACTAATTACAATCCTATCTTATATATCTGAAATTCTGTCTTTGCAATGGTTCGTTCTGCTGTGTAAACTTTCAATGGAGTTTTTCATCCCCTCGAAATCTGTTTGCATCTGTTTTATGGATTCCATTTGCTTCCTACGTTGGGATTCCATCATGTTCCTCAGCTCCTCTACTTTTTTATCTGTTTCTACTCTAGATTTAGTAATGATGTCTTGTAGTACAGGCACAATCTCTGTTATCTGCAAAAATATGTCTGATTTCATTTTTTATGGATCCTCTTTCATTGCCAGTTCTGGGAAACCAGGTTGTTGAGTATCCAATTGTTCTATCTTGTTTCCCTTTGGAGTTGCCTTAGGTGATTTGGAAATCTGGTTTTGAGGCTTATTTACATGTCTTCTAATTTCAACAGATGCAGCCTGCTGTGTCTTTGTTGATGTGACTTTTTCTTCTCCCAGTGTTCTTCAATTCTCAGCAAGCCACAGAGCAGCCTTTACTCTGCTGCTCACAGTACATCAATTCCTGGGTTCAGAATGTGGCCTCCTGGATCCCTGAGCTGACCTGTTGTCTAGGTAGTCTTCTGGCTGGGGCCTGTGGACACTTGGGAGGGTGTCTAGGTGTGCCCCTTGCTGGGGCTCCTATGTAGTTGTGTCTGGGGGGTGGGCTTTTGGCTGGGGCTGTGCACTCCAGTTCCTGTTTTCTGTGCAGGCTTCTGTCTAGGGCCTCCATGCACTTAGTAATGGCATTGGGGTGAGCCTCTTGCTGTTGCTTGTGCACCTGTGTAATTCTTTTCCAAGTGGGCCCTTGTTGTGGCCTATGATATGGCAAGCCTCTTGCTGAAGTTTGTGCTTCTGTGCAGCTCTTTTCTGGGAGGGCCTTTGGCTTAGGTGGGTGTGCCCATGCCTCTGGTGTCAGGGCAGTGACTCAGCTGGTATCCACCTACAGCAGCACCACTGTAGTCCACACTGGTGCTCCCCAGGTCTGAAAGCACTTACCCATGGTAGGGTGGGCCTCTGGCTCTAAAACATATATATTTTCAAATGTGATTGAAGCGCTTCTTTCAAAATGGAGAAAAACAGAATTATTTGAAAGCAGAAGTCTCCAAGACTGCTGACAAAAGGAAAGCTGCATTTCAAAGAAACCATGAGTACTCCTTAATCTACAGATTGATTGCAAAAGGAGACTCACATTCCCAAGCCCACTTTGTATAATTTCTATTCACTAGTTTACACATTTGTGAATGAGGTGAGAGAACAACTTTGTCTCTGCTAGCCAAGAATCATAAACTACTTGAGACCTCAAATGATAGTGATGTTTAAAGGGTTATAAACCACTTTAATCTCCCTGTGTTCTGACATAAATTAAGGCAGAATATACTGAGGTTCCCACAAAAGCATTGAATAGCCTGCTTCTATTTCCAGTGTTCTGTGTTTGTCAAGCAGGGTTTCTGTAGTGACAGAAAAAAAAAAAAAAAAAAGGAAAGAAAAATATTTTGGAGTAGACGGGACATCAGCAAATCTCTTCAAATAACACTGTCTTCCCATCACCTCCATGGGAGAATCCATTGCCAGGAAGACAAGCTTAGAGCTCCACTAATTCTGCATTAGGGTGAGCTGCATCATTAGTTCATTATACAGTACAGGGAAATAGTCATAAAAGTAAAGGGCACAAACATATGTGTGCTTGAATGATCCTAAATTATCCCCACCCTCTATCCATGGATAAACCATCTTCCATGAAATTTGTCACTGGAGCCAAAATGATTACAACCACTGAAATAAGTGAACTAAGCCAATCACAATAATGCAAATAACATCGGATTGTATTTCTTTGACGTGTTCAAAGAAGCCAAAACTGGAGAGTGGTAGTAGAAAGGTGACTGCCAGAGTCAGGGAAGAAGACAGATTTGTTTTCCAGGTATGATCAGAGTCTTGTCAGATGGAAGGCAGTGGTGGGAACAGAAAAACATGAATGCACACAACACTGCTCCACTGTGAGCTTGAAAGTGGTTGACATAAAAGAGTTTGACATCTGCATTTTACTCTTACAATCCTAGGGTGATCAATGAGTATTCAGGATAACTGTATTTAATAGCCTCTTCACACCCAGGAATTCTACAGCAGTATTTAACCACTTGAGCTCTCTCAAGCCCTAACCTGTCCAACTGAGCCCCAAATCACTCACCTATAGGGAACAGAACGAAGTGCCCTGAATGCTGAGGACCACACACACATTTCACACCAATACAGAACGTAACAGTCACTGAGCCATGGAAAGCCAGAAATAATAAAATGGGAAGGTGGAAAAGGGAGAATTGGGAAGAAAGAGAAAAATATGTCTGATAGAAGTTTTCAAATAAACAGAATACTGTTTTATTGGATTCATCTCTATTTGAAATATTTGGCTGAGTACAGGGAATTGAACTTGTCTTCAAGCTTACCAGGCAGGTGCTGTGCTCTGAAATACAGTATGCATCTGGGCCCTATGTAAAAACTTTTGACTTTATGTACCACTATGCTGATACAAAATAAAGGGCTATTAAATAGTTATAAAGATATTAAAATATTTTTCTAAGTGTGCTGATGCATATTTCACTACAGGAGAAAGTTTGAGGATGTTGCTCTAAAGTTATTGAAAGTGAAAAGTCATGCATATCATCAAAAATCTGTCCCTTTCCTCCTAGGTACATATAAAGTGCATGCCATGGAAGGCAGAAAAGTGATTTTTCCCAATAACTTTTTCCTGCTGAGCTTCTCAGAGTTTCCATGGCTGGAGAAGCCCCTCTCTAAAGTGGACTTAGTCTCCAACATCCTCACCCTGGTGGGGAACAGCTCCATCATCCTCCTCTCCCTGGTGGACCCCAGACTCCAGAAGTCCATGTACTTCCTGGACAACATCTCTCTGCTGTACCTCAGTCTTACATGCACCATTGTGCTCCAGCTGGTGGCCAACCTGTGGGGATCCTTGCTGCCTGGTACTGCATCATACAAGTGTATGTTTCAGCTGTGCAGCCTGCACTGAATTCATCCTGTGGCTATGATGGCCATTGATCACTATGTGGCCATCTACCAGCCCCTCCCATACACCCTCACCATGCATCCCTGGGTTTGTGTGCAGGTGGCAGCTGCCTCCTGGTCCTGTGCCCTGGCCAGTTCTCTGCTTCAAACCACACTCACCCTCCTGTTCCTCCTCTGTGAGCACCACATCCTGGACCAATTCAATTTCTATGAGGTTCCTCAAACTGGCCTTTGGGGCTACCTCTGCTAATGAGCTTATCCTGTCTTTTGTAGCCATTGCTTTCCAAGGGCTGGCTCATCTGCTGGTGATCATCTCCTACATCCCCAATGGTAGGGCTGTACTGAAGCTGCCTTCAGCTGAAGGCAGGAACAAGGCACTGAGCACCTGTAGTTCCCCCACTTGCTGTTGGTCACCATGTACTTTGGTCTACGTGTGCCTCCACTAGAAGAAAATCACACTCAGGCCAAGTTCATGTCCTTCTTCCACTTTGTTATCACCTCTGTCCTCAATCCACTCATCTACACCCAGAGAAACAAGAATGTGAAGACAGCATGGAAGAGGATCCTGCAATCCCAGGTTAGGGTGAAAACCTTAGATGCCATAGGATCTCTGCCTATCTCCTGCAGCGACCAGATGCACAGCCACATGGCTTGTTTCTCAAATGCATATGATTTGAAAGAAATGTTTCCTTTTCTATAAAACAATTAATCTGACACTAGAGAAATTTATTGGCTAGAAACATCTGTTCTTGAAATCTCAGAAATAATCACTAGAATTTTTCTTGATCTCTTTCAAAAGTCTTGCTTCCCAAGACATAATGTGCAGTGTGTTCCTAACCTTTATAGTAAGATAGAGCTATAAATCAACAACAATTGCCCCATTATTTACAGTAGTCAATGAGTAAATGAATGATAGCATGTGTACAGAAAGTATATCAATTATGGAATACAAAATCAAATTCTATTTATGAAAATGTGGATGGACATGGGCAACATAATAGTAAGTGAAATAACAAGCAAAGGTGAAAAATACTGCATTGCTCTCTCCTACACGAAAGCAAAGAATTAACACATTACATCAAGTATTATCACTAGAACTTGCTGTTTGAGGAGATGAAGATAAAATCATTTAAGAATAAATTCTATAGCATATCATGTGCTTGCTTCAATATATTTTTTCAATGATGTATCTGAAGGTTAGGTAGATTTAATTTTGGAAAAATTCTCCTATCTAACTACATGAGCAACTCCAGGCCTCATCTTTAAAGGAAACAGGCTACTTGAACATACTTTACATCTGAAAATGCTTCTGTATTCTTCTGTAATCATGTGTGTACAAAATGCACCTTTTTCATATGTGCATGATAATGCTACAACTGGTATTAACACAAAGAATGGAAATAAAGGAGAGGAAATGACTACCACATGGTGAAAGTGGAAGGGTGGAAGGGAAGTGTCCTTAGACACAAATTTAATCTCTTGAGGGAAAGTGGCCAAGCTGGCATCAGCTCTCTCTCCTTTTTGTGTGTTTTCTGCCATATACAAACTCTGCTTCATACTTTCCTTTTCTTTGGAGAAAAATGTTTACAGAACCCTTTTTAGTAATTTTCAGGATGGGAAAATCCCTGTTTATTGTATAGTTGAAGAGCTGTAAAATGGGAGTGCAAAGGAAACCAATTGGTGATAGGTCCGTGGATCCTGAGCCAATACCTTTAAAAAAGACTACAGGTGAAAGCTGAAGATATGGCTAATCTTACTGTGAAGTGGATTGGCTTAAGAAGTGCCCAGTTTCAAAGTTTCTTATGAAACTCAAGGCAAACTTTTACCAACCAGCCACTACACAATTTGTAAAACAAGCTACAGAATCCCTACATATAATGGTGCATGGATCATATTCCCATTTCAAAAATGAGGAATGAGGAAATTATAAGAAATCTCACTATAGAAACTCCAGAAACAAACACAGTAAGATAATTATTAAGTCCTGTAACTCCATAGCTGGCACACAAGGGACACCATGCTGAGATGAGTTCTACACAGCTGCTGAGGATCCACCTGAAAAGCTTTCTGGTTTAAGCGCATGTGCTGTGTCTTTTGGGCTTCCATTTGCTACATGCAGCTTTCCTTGTCAAACTTTCCAAGTTTCCGTACCTCTGACTTACTGAGGTCTCAGATGTACCTTCAGCTTCCTTCCCACAACTTCACACGCTGCACTCTCAAGGGAACACACTTTGGCATCTCACATCCTCTCTGAAATCTTTGTGGAAACCTACATATCCCCACAATCTTGACTTCTACTTGTCTTAACCTATAGCATCATCTGTATAGTACCAAGATCTGTGTTTAGCAGTAGCTAGGACCTTTAAACTTTATGTAGTGGTTTCTTTCTTTTTGCTTTGTTTGTTTGTTTGTTTATTTTTTGAGACAGGGTTTCACTATGTAGTTGAGACTGATCTGGAACTCACTATGTAGCTCAGGCTGGTCTTGAACTCACAGTAATACTCCTGCCTCAGCCTCCCAAGGGCTGGGATTACAGGCGTGCACCACCACGCCTCACTGTGTGTAGAGGTTTCTGTTCATAAGACCTAAGCATGAACCTTGGAGTCGGGGATGAGTGAGAACTTTCTAATTCCTGCAAAGCCCTCAATGTGTCTACTTTACCTAGCTCAGAATATTTAGCTTCCTTTAAATGGTGCAAATTTCTTCTTCAACACACCTCTTTTGGCTTCAAATTATTTACAGGTAGTTTTTTGGAGTTAAAGCTCAATGTGAAGGCCCTCTGTTCAATCACCAGCACCCCTCCAAAATTCCAGCCCATCTCTGCTGATGTCATCAAGTTCTTTTCTTGTCTCCATCTCCAAATGTCTTTTCTCCCAAACCAGACTGAAAACCTGTGAACCACATGGTCAGCAAAGTCAAGCAGGGACCCCTCATCTGTGGTGCCAACTTTCTGTACTGTGCACCTTCCTCTTACTGGGATTGCATTCCTGACATCCTTAAATTAAAGAAAGAGAGGCTCTTTCAGTTCATGGCTGGCTGGCCCCACACCAGAAAATATGTGACGGAAGAGCAGGATGATGCAGAGGTTCCCACCTCATAATCCAGGACACTACATGGGGGAAGAGCACCCTTCAGAGACACATCCTCCAAGGCACAACCCACTGACCCAGGCCCTCCAGCTAAGCCCCACTACCTAGCAACACGTCTAGCTTTAAACTTTAGACACTAACTCATCAGTGTGCACAGAACCCTGGGAATCCCATCCTCTTGTCAAGAATCTGCTATCCAGGTCAAGTTGACTATTAAGATGGAATTATGCTATAGGAAATGAAATATTTATATATTAATGCCTTAAAACAGGTTAATATCCAAAGTATATGAAACTCAAGACCCAAATGTCAACCTCATTAAGTAAATGGCAAAGTACCTGGATATTTCTCAAAAGAAGACATTTAAATGGACAACAAGTATATAAAGTTGCTCCATAGTGCTAGTTATAAGGGAAAGCATGCGAAAGGCACAAAGACATATTTCACCCCTCTTAGACTGTTTACTGCTACAGAGACAAAAATATGAATTGTTGAGAATGCCAGGGAGAAGAGAGAACCTCCAAGCACTGTTGAAGGGAATTTTTTGTAGGTCAGTTTTTGTCACCTATATGTGTGTAGGACAGCCTTGCTGATTGTGCAAAAGTAGGTTGTGAGCTGGTCGGGGTGTAAACTGTTAACACCACACTTGGCTTGGTTATAGAAGGAGGACCAGCGAAGCCTACTGCTGATGTTCCTGTGACTCCTATCCAAATTCTCTTCCTAGAGTTAAAAACTTCATTACTAAAGGAAAAGGTTAATTTTATTCTCAACCTTTTTTGTCTGTTCTATCCCTAATTAGAAAATGCTTTACCTTTTCCTTTAGAAGCATTGCTGCATCACTCCCATGGCCACAGCAATTACATATCCTCTCATATAGTCTGTTTACCTCAATGTAATTTATATCACTGATAAATATTGACAGCTCTGGGTGTTCTGGGACTTTGCTGGTTCCCTCTTGCTTGCAGGAGCATTGGTCATCCTGGGTCTCCATGTCAAAAGTGTACAACCCTGTCTCAAAGTCTTTCTTTTTACCGTGCCTATTAGCACTGAGCGAGAGATTAGATCCCACTGCAGAGAACTCTGATATACATTGGTAACAGAACAGAAGTGACTAAAAAATAAAGAAACGCCTTACTTCCCTGCTATGCCACATCTGGATATATGTGCAAAAGAAATAAAACTGTGATAAAAACGGCATGATACTGTAAAGAAACAGACCTGAGAATCAGTGGAATACATTACAAGATGCAGAAACCACTCCAGACACACTCAGGTACCTCATCTTTGACAAAGGAGCCAAACAACCTCACAGGAAAAGACAGCCTGTTTAATAAATGATTTTGGAAAAACTGGATATTAACTTGCCAAAGATTAAAACTAGACCCCTGCCTTTCACCATGTACTAAACTAAAATTCAAGTGGATTAAATATGTTAGTATTAAAACAGAAAGACTAAACTTGCTAGAAGATAAGTTAGGTAGAACTCTTGAAGATATTGGCATAGGAAAATATTCTATGAAAAAAATCTTCAGCAGTATGGGAACTTGCACAAAGAATCAACAACTGGGATCTCAGCTCATTAAAAAGATTGTGCACCACCAGAAAGATCACCAAGAGTGCTAAGAGATAAATTTATCAGCTGCTCCTAAAAGGTCTATTGCCTAAAATATATAAAGAATTTTTAAAAATCAGAAACTCAAATATAAAGACCCAATTCAAAAAAATGTGCATCTGGAATGCACAGACATTTCTCAGACAAACAAGTAAAAGCAACAAATAAATATATGAAAAAAATGTTCAATATCAGTGGTCATTTGAGAAATGTCAATGAAAACAACACTGAGATTCCACTCCAGAAAGAACAGCTGCTCTCAAGAAATCAACCAATAACAAAAGCTGGTGGGGTTGTGGGTAGAAAGGAACCCTTCTCCATTGTTTGTGGGAGTGCAGACTGGTTCAGCCACTGTGGAAATTGATACAGAGATACCTTTAAAAGCTGGAATTAGAGGTCCTATTTGACCCAGACATCCCTCTGCTGGGCATCTCCCCAAAATAATTAAAAGAATCATACCAAAGTCATACATGCCTACCCATGTTTATAGCTGCACAGTTTGTAATAGCTAAAACTTGGAAACAGCCCAATTGCCCATCAGCTGGAGACTGGATAAAGATGTGGGTTTTTAAAAAATATAATGGAGTACTACTCAGCCATAAAGAACAAGCAACCAGAGGCGTACTTGC